TAGCACATTTCGTTATTTGCGTGGAAGACTAGCACATTTCAGATTTTTGCGTGGAAGACTAGCACATTTCAGATTTTCGCTTGGAAGAGTAGCATATTTCAGATTTTCGCTTGGAAGAGTAGCATATTTCAGATTGTTAAGCCGCGAAAACTGCACGTCTCCGGTTTAAAGTAAATCATAAAAGCATAATATATATTGAAAATTCAAACGTTTATTCTATATTTCTTTAATTGTATTATGAAAATAATGAAATTCAGACGGTATATACCGTTTACTAATCATTTGTTGAATATCATCCACTTTTCTTTTTTTTAAGGTATTTTTCCCTTGTAAGCTTTAGGCAATTCACAGTGTTTCATGGTTGACCATTGAACATTTTTTTACATTAGGTTCAACTTCTCCTCGCTTTGCATAAAGTCGTATTTTACTGCCATGTCTACTTGATTTTTGCTATTTTTTATTGTAATTTTCCGTACATGTGATATCTTAATTTTTTGCCAATGAAAATATTTGGACAGTTCTTCGAAGGAAAATATTTCATTTGCGTTTGCGTTGTGGAAAATTTGTTGAGTTTTTTTAGTATTCTCCTGGGCTTTAAACTTGGGCCAATATGGATTTTTTTAAGAGAATTGACTTTATTTTAATTGAAGGTTTTTTAAGTAAATAAATAAACATAACATAAATAATATCACTTTGAAACGGGGTGCTCTTGATATGATACTGTATGTATATGTTTTTTCGTATTTATTTATAAATAAAGATTCCCTGAGAAAGACGCGAATGTCGAAAGGTGTAGGAGGAAAAATAAACGTTTATTTTACTTGTAATAACCGGCCAAAAGGCTCCATATACAACACTAAACTTTCAGCATGACCGAAGAAAAATAATTATAGTATAAACATACATATTTATGTAACTTTTTTTTTTTAACGGCTGCTACAACCTTATATGAACTGCCTTGCGTATCCCTCTTCCACACAAAAATCTGAAATGTGCTAGTCTTCCAGGCAAATAACGAAATGTGCTACTCTTCCACGCAAAAATCTGAAATGTGCTAGTCTTCCACGCAAAAATCTGAAATGTGCTAGTCTTCCACGCAAATAACGAAATGTGCTACTCTTCCACGCAAAAATCTGAAATGTGCTACTTTTCGACGCGAATAATGAAATATGCTAGTCTTCCACGCTAATAGTGAAATGTGCTAGTCTTCCACGCGAATAGTGAAATGTGCTACTCTTCGTAGGGACCGACGATATTTGCTAGCTCCTCACGTGAGCACGTGCACTCGGCAAATTTACGTACATATTTATGTACATATATATTTATATGCATATGTGTATGTATATGTTAATATATGCATAGTAGGTATACAGAGCTGATATTGATAACAAACATTTGTTGACTTTGTAATGTATCCTTTAAGGGGTTAGTGCTCTTTATCAATCAATAAATAACTAAAGTATGATACATAGGAAAAAATTGGAGTTTGCAGATGCATACATACATATATATTTATATGCACGTTGTATATACACGTGTCGGACCCATGGATGGCAAACGAAAGCAAGAGCGCCCGTGAACAAAATGGAAGAACCAAGTGCAGTAGGATCTGCACTCGGGGTTAACAACTGGTGCTAATTAGCAAAAGAGAGAGGCAACTGGTTTTTAGGTCTCGGGCAGTGCCAAATAAAAAGAAGATATACCCATAACTAGTTAATAACAAGCATTTAAATATGGCTCAAACTTAGAAACAAATCAATGGCAGAAGTGGAAAAATCCTTTTTTATATATTTATGAACAAAGAGAATGCATAGTGTCCTTAATAAATGTTAGTTTATTTTACTTTAAAATAATGTAATATTGTAGTTGTTTATGTTTAAAATGTACATATACTTACTACCTCCTAGATAAGTACTTAAGATGTCATAAAATATTATTTTTTAAAACGCAAATGCTCTTTTTTTTAAATTGCAGGGCATGTTTAAAGATAAAAGCAAATATCCAACACTCACACGTATGTCCTATTGTCAATGCCGTTTGAAATTAGTTTTTGCTAGCATATTTCGTCAGTTCAATTGGAAACATGTGGCGTTGATCATTGACCGCTCGGACCTTTTTTCGCTAACTGTCGGCAAAAACCTGGAGTATGGACTACGACAAGAAGGTCTACTTAGCTTTGTACGTGAGCTGAATGGCAATGAGCAAGAGCCATATGAAAATTATTTGAAAGATGCAAGTATGTATGCGAGAGGTGAGTAGAGTAGTTGATATTGCATACATACCTAGTACGTACATATATAAATATATATAGCGCAAAAGAACTTACATGGTTTGCAGTTATCGATATGCATAATCCTAATTTTTTTCATTTTGGCCTAAATAACATACATTCGTATGTGTATGTACATATGTTTATGCAATAAAAGTTGTATTGCCATAGGGTGATGATAGATAGCTCGTACCGACTTAAACCTCAAATTTTGTACAGAGATAGCCACACTGTGCAACAATAGATATGGTATTTGTACAATAATAGTCTTCTAATAATTTTGAACTACATACATACATACAAATAAAAAAAGAACTTTTTTTTTTTACTTTTTTACAAGATTTAAAATAAGTTAGATTAGACAAGCAGCCCGACAAGAGTAAATTCGGAGACCATCTGCAATCTCCATAATTAACCAAGTCGGTCGATAAATACGGGGGTTTCAAATATGTCGACTCCTGCGCCACCCAGCAGGCATTCATTTAATAAGTTTCAAGTCTCTAGCTCATCGCGAATTGGGTAAAATTTAACTTGCAAAATTTGATTACGGACACCGATAAAGGGAAATGCTACATAAATAAAAGCTTGTAAAATATATCACACACGATCTTCAAAAGAGACACAGCTCAAAATTGTACGTTCGTCAGAAATTGCGGCCAACTATTTCGTAGCACACACATGTTAATCACATAGACAAGGGAGACTCTACCTTAGGTTTTCTCAACAAATTATAACAAAAAACTACGTCATTTCAAAAACGCCAAATTTGAGTTGTGTCACTTTTGAAGATCGTGTGCGATATATATATTATTTTAATTTCTCATCTTGTTTAATTGCACGCATGTCAAATTTCCCATGTGTGGGCTGCATTATTATAATTGCATTTTCAAGAGTATTTGCCTCATAATGCTGGATTTCGACTAGGCAATAAATGGAAAAAATGACAAATGACAAAGTCGGGCATTAAAAAATAATCGTGTCATTACATTAAAAAAAATTGTCATTAAGTTCATTTCCACATGGCATTTTTTTAAATGGCATATATTTTTTGTCATTTCAATGCCTAGTGGAAATTCGGCATTACGTTAGATGATTCACATTTTTTCTAAGTTCTATAACTGGCAAGATTACTATATGTTGATAATATAATAAAAAATATATGAATCATTCGAAATGTCTCGGAATGCATATCTCCCTTTTCTCGTTCCAGTGGTAATTCTGTCATTGCGTGGCATTTTAGTCCGGAAATTTATGCTCGCTGCTTACACATTGGGCATGACGAACGGCGAATGGGTATTCCTTGATGTGGAAATATTTCAAGTAATACAACAGTCCTATACACTACATACATACATACATACGTACTTAGTATCCTTAACATTTCACTTTTCGCTGCTTTATTTCCACTGCAGAGCTCTTATTGGGGTGATCACGACTGGGAAATGGGTGATGCACTCGATAGTCATGCGCGCAAGGCATATGAAGCATTATTGCGTGTTTCTCTGCTGCAACCGACTAATCCACAATATCAGGGATTTGCAGACAAAGTGCGGATAATGGCCAAAACGTACAATTATACTTTCAGTGAGGGTGAAGAAGTACGTATAGAATTACTCTATGTATTTAATAATTGCGTTTGTGTCTACAAAACTGGACGCATTTGATTGATTGTGATAGCTACATATGTATAACACTCATTATCATCCTCTGTCACTTTTCACTTTTTGAGGTAAACTTTTTTATTGGCGCTTTCTATGATGGCGTTTACTTGCTCGGCATGGCTTTGAATGAAACTCTTACGGAGGGTGGTGACATACGTGACGGCATGGCTATAACACGACGTATGTGGAATCGCAATTTTCATGGCATAACTGGTCATGTGCGCATTGACGACAATGGTGATCGTGATGCTGATTATTCTATTTCCGATTTGGATCCGATAAATGGAAAATTTGAAGTAGTAGCCCATTACTATGGTCTACATCGGTAAGGATTTTTGAATGTGAAATATGAATGTATGTAGATACATTTTTTATGCATTTGATGGTGTTTATATGTACCTTAAAATTTTAGCGAGTATTCGGCTGTGCCTGGTAAGAAAATCCATTGGCCTGGTGGACGTGAAGGCCCACCGCCAGATGTGCCACGTTGTGGATTTTTAGGCAATGCACCAGAGTGTCATGGCAATGGTGAGTGTGTGAGGACTCTATCTAAGTATGTATGTGCGCGTTTATCGCGTTTACTTTTGGCAATTTTTTTTTTAGTGGAAGGAGTTGCTCATTTTCTCCATACAAAAAATTATTGTCGAATATACTTTGTATGGAAGAATTTGCGTGAAAAAAAATTACCAAAAATCAATGCGATTTTCTAGCGACTTAAAACTTGCACTTTGTTATACTAAATTTTAATGGGCTATAAAACTGAATACTTAAAATTTTTCTAAAAATCTGAATAAAAAGTTGCAAATTAGTGTGCAAATTTAATGAACTTTCCTGAGTTTTGCACAAAGTTTAGAGATTTTATTATTATGTTCTCTGTTGTAGAATGAACGATATTTTTATAAAAATTATCGAAAATAAATTGATGCAAAGTTTGACATTTTTGAGTAAAATTCAAACAAAAATTAAAATGTATAGACGAAATTCACGAAAAAATGTAAAATCAGTTGCTCTAATGCTGCTTAACAAAAAAATTTCAAAACACACATAATCAATACGCTCACTAAACTACGGGCTAAATATAATAAAACTGCGTTTTTAGTTCTGCACTCTGACGTCAGGATTTTTTAAAGGACTTTGTTATTGAAAAACATTATTAATTAAAAAAATTATTTAAATAAATCAGTACAATATAGAAAAACAATACGGGTACCAAATGAAAGAGAAAATTCTGCGGGAATTAAAAACATCAAATTTTTTTATTAGTTTACAAGAACGAATAGTTATTGAAAATGCGTCCTTATCACATAATTTTTTCAAAAATAAATATTGAAAATGTTCAAGGATATTCAAGAAAAAAAATTTTTGAAGACATTTTCCTTATGCACAAAAAATGTAGTCTTTCTTAATTTTACAGAATTTTCTCTTTTTTTTGGTATCCACACTGTTACGCTAAATTGAACTGAATTTTTTAAATAATTATTTGAATTAATAATTTTTTGTAATTTCAAAGCCCTTAAAAAAATCATGACGTCATACGCAGTTTTACTATACCTTGCCCATAGTTTCGCTAATATATTAATTTTTTGTGCGTAAAATTTACTGCCGCACGGTGGAGTAATCAACGTGAAATGCATTGAAAAAAAAAGTTTGAAAAGCAACTAGTGAATTAGTGAGTCTTTTAGGGGACTAACTCTGAAACACTACCTTTCCGATGCAAAAAGAATTATCGCCATCGGTGGACGTGGTCCAAAGTTATGCGGTAACATACATAAAAAAAAAAAATATTCCGACGAACTGATATCCTCCTCCTTTTTTGGAAGTCGGTTACAAATACCCCGTAAATCAGAGCAAAAGCAAGGAGATTTCTTCTCAAAATTCTAAAAAAAATTAATGAACAAGAAGTTGTCACCTTATTTTCAGCCGATAAATTTGAGAAGAAATTCAAGCTAAAATTAAAAAGACTTTCGAGCAAAAATTTCTTCAGTCTTGTCTCCTCTCGCTCTCCTTGGCCTAAAAGCTTTTGTGGATATCAAATACCGAACACTGAGTACGGGATATAAAAAGAAATACGGAACATTCAGCGGCCCGTATGAAAGAAATAAATTACCAGGACAATTGACGAAAAAGGACTGTCCCTTCAATCAAGGACGGATGCTCATATAGCTTTTGGCTTACACAAACTCACACACACTCAATCTCCGATCGATCAGAATAAAATTGTTTCGCCATTGTTTTGGATGTAGACTGCTTTATGGGCGACTTAGACACAAAAGTCAGTATGGCCCATTTCTCTTTATTGAAATTTTTGGAACAGTGTCGTTATTTATAGATGGCATTTATCAAATTCATATTTGCTTTAAGTGATGACTCTTTTTCGTAAAAAAATAACGCTTGATGAGCACTGGAAATTACATAGTTTTTTCCAATGCGCCACAAGTTGCAACATGTGAAACCTACAAAGTGACGGACTTATTGATCCACCTCTCGTCTTAGTAAATTCATATTCTGTGCTTAATAAAGCATAAATTTGGTGGTTCAAATATTAAAAGCGATCTATATATCCTGAAAATTTTCTTCTGGAAAAGAAGTCACACACGAATTATCGCCTAAATTATACAAATTTTAACTTTTTTAAATTTTATTTTTATTTTGTGTTTAGAGTTAGTCATCATGTATGGAACTTTTGCATTTGTCATATTTATTGGATTCTCTTTTTTGGTGGTATACCTGATGTGCAAGTAAGTTTTATCGGTTTTTCATTCGTTGTGCCTTTGGTTAACAATTTCTATATTATCGGTCTCTAGACAAATGAAGTTGAATAATGAATTGAACAACATGTCATGGCGTGTCCGCCCAGATGAGGTACTCCTTGAGGTAGGAAGACTGTATGGCAGTAAAGTTGGTCTACAAAAACTCAATGTGGAGGTTAGCTTAAGCAAATGAGACTGAAATTGCAAAGTCAAATTCGTCTTTTATTCTTTGGAAAAAATATCTTTATACACCATTTTTCCGCACAGAACTTTTCGCTTCAGCAGTATGATATCCATTCCGGACGCGCATCTATTGCTAGTTGTGCCTCGCTACCGCTCACCCAAGTCTTTACCACAATTGGCATTTTCAAAGGTGAACGTGTCGCCATTAAGAAGATACATCGCAAGAAGGTCGACATTACACCAACGCTCTTGTGGGAAATCAAGCAGGCGCGTGATGTTAGCCACGAGAACACGGTGCGTTTTGTTGGCGCCTGCATAGATTTGCCACGCCCGACCGTACTAATACTTACCGAATACTGTCCCAAGGGTAGTTTAAAAGATGTGCTCGAGAACGAGGCGATACAATTGGATTGGAATTTTCGTATGTCGCTCATCCACGATATAGTCAAGGGCATGGCTTATCTGCATAATAGCGATGTGCAGGTTCATGGCAAGTTACGCTCGTGTAACTGTCTCATCGATGGCAGGTTTGTGTTGAAGATCTCTGATTTTGGTTTGCGTTCATTGACTACGCCATCGGAGTTTGTAAAGGATCAAAATTATTTTAATAGTGAGTTCAATATAGTAGTTAGCACATAGATTTATATTTAGCCATTAAAAATCTCAATGTTGTACCTCATTTATTCCAGAATTCCTTTGGATTGCACCAGAGCTGCTACCTGTTACAGTACTACCCGGTAATCCGGCCACGCAGAAGGGAGATGTTTACTCATTTGCTATAATATTGGAAGAAATTGTTGTTCGCGGTGGCCCCTATGAAATGGCACGCCAGTTTATGGATGTGCAAACTATAGTGAATCGAGTGGAGGCGCATGAACTACCACCATTTCGACCCTTTGTTGGTCAACGCGACTGTCCGCCCGATGTACTAGACTTGATGGAAAAATGCTGGGCTAATAATCCGGATGATAGGCCGGCATTTGCTACGATACGATCATCGGTGCGATTGATTATGAAGTAGGTTATAGTAGGTATTTTTGTACATTCTCTATTTCTCACGCTTTGCTCCTCCACGCACTCTTAGAGGTTTTTGCGAGAACCTAATGGATGATTTATTACGTCGCATGGAACAGTATGCCAATAATTTGGAAAGTTTAGTAGAAGAAAAGACCGAACAACTGAGTATGGAAAAACGTCGCACTGAAGAGCTACTTTATCAGGTGCTTCCAAGACCTGTAGCAACACAGTTGCTGGCAGGCGAAATGGTACAACCGGAACAATTTGAGTGTGTAACTATCTATTTCAGCGATATTGTGGGTTTTACGGCGCTATGTGCTGAAAGCGGACCCATGGAAGTGGTCGCCTTTCTGAACGATCTCTATAGCACATTCGATCGTATTATCGGCTTTTATGATGTGTATAAGGTAAGTTTTGAGAAGACAATATTTGTGGAATTTTAAAATCATTCAACGCCATATCTCTTTGTAGGTTGAAACAATTGGTGATGCATACATGGTGGTTTCGGGCTTACCCGAACGTAATGACGATCATGCACGTGAAATAGGTCTTATGGCGCTTGCTATATTGGATGCCGTAAAATCATTTACGATACGTCATAAACCAGATTATCAACTAAAAATAAGGATTGGCATACACGCTGGTCCAGTTTGTGCGGGTGTTGTTGGTCAAAAGATGCCACACTATTGCTTGTTCGGTGATACTGTGAACACAGCTTCACGCATGGAGTCAGCAGGGTTACGTAAGTACATAGCATAAAGATAAGTGCGGTATTTTGTAATGTTCAGAAGTAGCGCACTGGGTTTAGAAGTTACTAGTTTGGGATATTCAAATGGTAGCTAATGGCGGCTTTATTGATGATGAGAAATATTTTTGCGAATAATGGATATGCTTAGTGGCGCTGGAGTCGAGATGGGCACATGTCTTCTTTACACCTCTTTTTACAGCTAAGCTATACTTCTGTGGTATACAAAATTATATATCACCAGAAGGGTATTTTCAAATTAGTTTAAATTAAAGCGAAAAAATCAATTAAAAATTTAAACTAATTCAAATGCCAAATGACTCATAAATTTATTTAGTTATGGTGGGGGTGAATATGCAGATGAAGAAAAGAATAAAGATAAAGATCAGGATAAAGGTAAAGGAAAAGATATACATACATACCCAAAGATAAAGATAGTGATATTGATAAAGATGGAGACAAAGAAAAAATAAATCTGAAGAATTAGATATGTTATGGAATGTTATGTTATGTTTTGATTGTTATGGTTTATTATGTTATGTTATGCTCTGTTATGTTATGTTATTTTATATTATATTTCGTTATCCTATGCTACGTTTTGTTATGTCTTCTTCTGTTTTGTTATTTTATGCATTGTTATGCTATCTATGTTACGTTATGTTAAGTTATATTATGTTTTCGTTTTGTTATGTCATGTAATGTAATGTACCGTTATTCAATGCATTTCACCTCAACTCATCACAGCTCTGTTCAAATCGCCTGAGCTCACCTTAACTAACCTCACATCGCCATCTTTCAGTTCACCTCAACCCACCTTAACTCACCTCACACCAAACCCATCTTGCTTTTTTCGTTTACCAGACGAATTACATTTATACAAAATAATATGTTTTTGTGTGGCATATTTGTAGGTATTTTATTAAAAAATGAAATGGCAGCATGATTCTCTCACGGCTCTCTTTGCACATAGAAATTTAACTCAGAAAACAAAAATCTATAGTTTTCCAAGTTTCTAAGTGAAGTTGTTTTTTGGGTAACTACATACACGCGCTGCTCATTTGCCAGATATACAATTTTCAAGTCAAGTGAAGTCTAAGTCTTGCATAACTAAGCTTTGACAGAGCTCAGTTTTGTATTTAATAGAAAATCTCTAAGTTTGAAATAAATTTGGCAACATCGCTTTGAGTATGAAACATTCAATACATATATTCTCTTATTTACAGCCCTAAAGATACACGTCTCTTCAGCGGCCAAAGCTATTTTCGACAAATTTGGCACTTTTCAAATGGAATTACGCGGCGAAGTCGAATTGAAAGGCAAAGGCACAGTCACTACTTATTGGCTTTTGGGTTGCACTGAACCAGATCCGCGACCACCAACGCCACAAAAGAACAATAACGGTGAGGTACCATTCCCCATACTCTTTCCAGCAATTGGTAAATAGCTCTCAGCTGCCGAAGGATTAGAGCATGATTGATTGTAGGGCCTCCGAAATATGAAATACGCTCAATTGTTACCTGTTAAAATGTTTTACATAAGTATGTTTATTTATTGAATATACATGCATACATATATGTTTGTATGTAAGGATGCCTAATTATTAAGCAAATACATAATATTTATGCATACATAGATATGTTTATATAACTATGTATTTATGTCCTTTACATACATACACAGCCAGTGCTCCTTTATAAACAAATTCATTAACACAGAGTACAACATTCGATGTACCTAAAATTTTGTATTATTATCGTGTATGCAGTAAAAGTATGTAGTAACTATTTATTATTGATAAAGTATGTATGTATATGCGTCTGGCTATATCTATGTATTTAATATATCAGTATCATTGAAAATATTCAGTCTAAAATAAGCTGGACAAAAAGACAACAGTTAGCACTCACTTTGTTAGTTTGAAAGTTTAGGAAAACCCAATATTTTTTTTTTGGCCGAGCATTGTAGTCGTTTTTACATTTTTCGTCATATCTTCGGCATTTACAGTCGGATCTTTAAGTATAATATATCGATGTTTTTGCCTCAAGTAGTCATTTTTTCCAAAGTTTATTGTCTTCAACTACCTTATCACCTCTTATCACCTTAACAACCCGCCCTAATGTTATTAAATTAAAGCTCACCATATTTCGATTATTGCAGTAAAACTATTTAAAAAAAAAAAA